CACACCACATGCTTTTATTCCTGAATAAAAATAATCCCACACCCCCCCCCCCCCCCCCTCCCCTCCCACTCTACTGTGATCTTAGAATCCCACTCCAGCTCTTGCTTTACAGTCAACACCAGTTCAGTCTCACTCAGCCTTTTCCTGCTCACCCCCTTCAAAAAAAAAAGCAAGAAACGTTTATAATTCACCCCCCCCCCCAAAAAAAAAATCACAACTTACTCAAAGGCAAGATGTGAGATCCACACAGACTCGCACATCAACCCGCAGTGTTATTTGCAATAACTATTCTGCACTAATCACAGTGACTTCATGGGAAGTAGTGAGGAAGAAGAACATTCAAAAGATTCTGGAGAGAAAATATACTTATATTTATACATTACACACACACACACACACACCAGATCTCTCTCTCTCTCTCTCTTTCTCTCCACTGTCCAACCAACCAAGAATTGCAAAAGGTAGAAATAAAGAGACAGACACAAGAACAGAGCTTCAGTTACTTACCTTTCCTCTTAAACATGTACAGAATCCAGATCAAAAAAAATGCCCAGAGTCCATACAGTGTGTACTGTCTTCCAACACAGCAAGGGTCAAACACAATGAATGGCTGAAAGGCACTTCTATGGTAAAGTTTAAGATAATGAGGTCCTTAAGGAGCCTTCAGTAATTGAGTCGGTGGAAACTCAGCTACAGGTGTTCCTTCTATCCAAGTCTCTCTCTCTCTCTTTCTCTCTCTGCAGTGTAACCTTTTCCTCTAACTGACTGACTTGACTGAACTGACTGACTGACTGACTGACTGAAGACAACTTACCTATCAGCTTAGGAGAATTGTCCTAAATGAATCCAGCTTCATCATCTGCAAATTCAATCCTTTTTATTTTCCACCGGTGAGAGAGAGAGAGAGAGAGAGAGACAGATAGACAGACAGACACACACACACACACACAATACAGTAAAAGGTCATTCAATTATTACCCAGGAAAGCACAGGTCTAACCAAAAGCACACAAAGCTCTTGTCAAACCACACACACAGACACCACACACACAGCTCAGCAGCTCACAGTTGGAATATTTATCACACACACACACACACACACACACATTTGCTTTGCTGATGATGACTAGAGAGAGAGTCCAGGAGTACCATCAAGTACAGCAGCAACTATGGGATAGATAGATCATGCCTCAGAGCCCAGTTTCTCATGGTGAAATTTACAACCAGCAATAAAGCTTTGGCTGCAGTTAGAAAAAAACACACACACACAGACTCAACACACACACACACACACACACACACACAGAGACTTCCCTACAGAAAGGCAGAACAACCAGAACCAACCTCTGTGAGTGCCTCCAGTTGCCAAAGACAGGCCAAGAGCTGCAGATTAATGAGACCTTTTTTTTTTCCTATTGATTTAACCGTTTGACAAGTGTAGCAGAGAAGGCGAGTTGGTGCTTTGCCTATTTTCACAAAGCCCTTTCTTTTTTTTTCCCCCCTGGTTTACCTCTCTTCAACTGCTCTGAAATAGCAATGTCTTTGTTAGCCAATGCATAGACAGAGAGAGAGAGAGAGAATGTGTGTGTGAGAGAGAGAGAGAGAGAGAAAAGAGAGGGAGTGAGAGAGGAGGGAGAAAGAGAGAAAGGAAATAAAATCAAAACAAATGGAACAGCTAATGAGGACAATTAAATTAATTATGTTCAAGGAGATGAGATTTTTTTTTACTCTATGATCTGTTACCCTTCGCTGGCGATGACTGCTCTCTAATTCATGGCAAATGATTAGTGCATCTATGCAAATCTTTGTTTAAATCATTCAACTAATTAAATGATAGGATTATTCTTCTGCCTACAGTGACATCATTTCCCAGTAATTAGTACTCTATTTAGACTGTGGCAATAGATTCCTAATGTCAAGCTTGAGATATTCACCAGTACCTTGCACTGCTTTGACATCCACCCCCCCCCCCCCATCTATTCCCCCACTATCAACCCCTTCCTTCCACCCCATTATATTATACATTGTCTTTTTCTTGCTCGCTGTCTTCAGAAGATTTGGGTGAATAAGATGCTAACACTCCGTTCGATAAGGAACGCGTGTGAAAAAAAAGGCATCAATAGTTAACATTCAGCTCCATGCTATTCATTTCCCCCCAAAAATGTAATGATAATTAGATGGGTCATAAAATGCTCTTCTTTTCATTATGACTGATGAAATGCATTAAAACTGACAGGGTATTACCTGACAGTAATTAGGTTTTGTCATGAATTAAATTATTTGAATGCAGACTATCTTACCAATCATGCAATTTTCAGGGAAATTTTTTTGGTCAGAGAAAAGAGACAGAAAATAGCATTTTCCCCCACCACCCCCGCCCCCCCCTCTCTCTCTCTCTCTCTCTCTCTCTCTCTTCATAATCATATGAATTATTCACAGAATCATCACAAAACTGTGCAGATGAAGAGGCCCGCCACTTAATGTACCGCACAGATGTGATCATCAGTGATTGCCAACGATGAAATACAAGTGCACACAAAGTGATTCGGTGAACAAGAGGTGGAATTTAATCATCTACTGATATTCTGTAAAAAATACCATTAACCCTCTATATATCATCCCCCGCCCCCCTCTCCCCCCCCCCCCCCCCCACTCCTCAACATGCACACAGAGACACGCGGCACTCTTAAAAGAAAAATTGTGCTTTTACACTCGGCATCCAGCTTGAGGTTGTTTGTGACAAGACGAGCATTTGCTCTCACAGTGGGTAAATTAAGTGTTTAACTGAAGACTCTCAGAAAACCTTTCAAAGAATTGGAGATGACTAGTTCCCTAGTTACAATGTTCCAGCCAAACAGTTTCTCGGATTTCCACTCTCTTTCTATTCATGAAAGAATTGACTTAATCCCCTTATTTTATAAGCAGTATCGTGGATTCGAATTCCACCAGCGAGACAATTACCGAACTTACCTTATATGAAAGTGTCTGGGTGACTGTGGGAGGAAGGAAAAATTGTCAAGTTTTCACTTGTTTTCTTGATTCGCAGTGAACGCGTTTCGAAATCTTCCTTTTTTTTGGGTGGCGGGTGGAGGTGGTGGTGGGTGGGGGGGGGGGGGAAATAAAAGTAAAAACAAAATCGAAAATTCCCTGTAACCACTGAGATAAACACTAAAAAAAAAACCAGCAGCAGTGTCGGCCCGGAGGAAATTAAACGTTATTCTTTTCCTTTCTTAAAAAAATCTTTGAAAGAAAAATTCCGAAGAAGACAGAAAGAGAATGAATCTCGTTTCATGGGAATGACTGCAGAACCAACACTTTTTTTTCCTCCCCCCCCTTCTAACTGCGACAGCAACGATAAAAGGGCCACCTCTCTCTCTTCTCTTCCTGAACACAGAACCTGAGTGGGCCAGCTCTTTTCCTCCAGTATTTAAGCACCTCACCAGGTCCCTAGTTAGTAGCTTCCTTCAGCTCATCCAAGAAGCTGACAAGTACTGTTAGAGGAGGCTGTACATGTTGCTCTAATGGACCTCATTAAGTTCTACTTACAGATGTTCTCTTAACATAATTGATCTGTGGTGAGTTGAGAGGACTGCAACTTATTCCCCAGCCCCCAATTACGGTTGGGTAATTAGATCCCCAACCTCCAATTTTTCACATTCACCCTTCTAACATTCCAAAATATCAAAGTATCTCTTTCTCACAAAGCCCCCCTTACCGGACTCCTCTCCCTCACAGTATTGACAGTTAGATCTGCTAACCTTTGTAGTGACGCCAGTTTTAATAGCACATTCAGTCCACTGACAGAGCTCCATCTTTTTTTCCCTTTGTTTCTTCTCTGCCTACTTCGGTAACAAAGGGAGAGAGAAAACTAACTTGTAGAGTTTGTACTTTTGATAAAAGGTACTAATGATCAGTCTTGGCAGAGGAAGCTTTTTTTTAATGTCTTTTTATCCGCTTTAATTCCTCGGATGGAAACTTTAAGGAACAATGAAGGAGAGGGGTGCTGCTCTGAAATGGTGAGAAGAAAAAAATAACACAGCACACCTGGGACAGATGAAGCCAAACCAATGCTTTTATAATGCCAATCAGTGGGGCTGTTATTATCCCTCTAATTAGGAAAGGAGTCTAAAACACATCGCACTTTGGGAGATGGTAATATTTTGGTTTTGCACTTAAAAGAGGAGAGAAAATTTGCTACACCGTAAGAATTCAGGATCGGATTGCCACTGACAGCCTTTCGCTAATGGATACAATGGATTGTGTGCTTTTTCAAAAAAAAACTAGGTAAAAAGTTTGCCCAAAACAAATGTTACAGACGAAAGTTCACAGCGCATTAAAAGAGCGTTGTGTTCAATACAACATAAGCTGTGGAAATCTAGCAGAGTTGTGCTGAATATCATCCTGAAACTCTTTATTAATATTAGCAAAAAAACATTGCTATAATGGCAGGGCGAAACCTTAGTCATGTTTCCTTACTCCACACGTTTCTGTTTAACCAGCAGTAACTAGCAGTAAGTAGGTCCCCTGTTGTTGGAGGATCGCTTTCCAGGAGTAATAATCCCTCAAAAAAAGATTTGGTCACTCAATCCACGACTGTCTGTGCAACACTGCTGTGTGCAATTGTCTGCAGCATTTTGCTCAAAAGATACACGGTCAATCCACTTTACAATATATTCTGTGAAGCGCTTTGAGATGTCTCAACGATGTGATAAGGCGCTGTATCACATGCAAGGATTATTATCATTATTATGATGATGATGTTAAAGTTCTCCAGAACTCTGGTTTGATGCAAGTGTTTGGTAGGAATGAGTGGTAACGTGGGGCCATTCATTTGCTCCAGTATTCTCATACACATTGCTCATGTCTTAATGTGGGGTCCTGTAGCTCAGTGATTAGAGCACTCGCTTTTCAAGCGAGAGACCTGGGTTCGATTCCCGGCAGGGTGAAACCTTGGGCAAGTTTCCTTACTCCATACGCCTGATAATAATCTCTCAAGAAAAA